GTCGTCCATCTCCACCACAGCCTTTTTGGGGGTGGGTGGGTGGGTTTGTTTGTTTGGTTGCTTGTTTGGTTGGTTGGTTGTTTGGTTGGTTGTTTGTTTTGCTGGTTGTGGTGGGGGAGGGGCGCGTGATGTCAGGGCTGCAGCGCGGAACAGAGGGGTGGGAAGAGAAGCCGCTGCCAAGCTCGAAACAGCCCGAAACCGCCTCGTCTGCGTGCGATGCTGCACTCGCAACCCCCGCCGCAGCAGCAGCAGCGCACGCAGCAGCCCGCTGCTGTAACCGCCGCCCCAGCTGCAGCGCACACAACAGCCCCCCCCCCCAAAAAAAACAAAACCGCCGCCGCGCGCGCGCGCCCCGCACCTCCACGTCCGCCGTGCTCTCCTGCGTCCCCCCGATGAACTTCCGGCACTTTGCGGTGGCGCAGTAGCAGCGCATGGGCTTGTCGCCGTAGCGCTCAAAGTTGTAGTCAAAGGTCAGCTCCGAGCCCGCCTGGACGTCCGTCAGCGCAAACAGGCCGATGGCCAGCTCCCCGCGGACCAGCCACTTCTGGGTTTCGCAGTTGGGGTCGCAGCTGTGGTTGATAAAGCGCGCCTGGTTGCCCTGGGGGTGCGGGGGCGCGGCGGGGCGGGGCGTGGGGTGTTTGGGAAGTGGGGGGTTTGGAGGGTGGGGCTGGCGCGGCCGGGGCCGGGCGGATGCTGCCGCCGCCTCGCCGGCTGCAGCCGCAGCTGCAGCCGCAGCCCTGCTGCCGCCAATGGCGCGAGAGATCTCTCTGCCCCCGCACACCACACACAAGCATGCGCACCCCGCACACCACACACTAGCACGCACCAGGCACACAACAGCACCCCAGCCCACCGCGCACACACACACGCCCACCTTTCTGCACGCGTCGATGACCTCCCCGTTCCCCACGTTCATGAAGTAGTAGTGGCGCTGCCCCGTTGAGTTGTAGTACTCCTTGCGCCGCAGGTACTCCTCCTCCTCGAGGACCTGGGGGGCGGGGCGGGGCGAGGACGAAAAGCCAACGCCCGCTGCTCGGTTGCTCGGGGGGAGGGAAGCTCCTCAGGGCGCGCCCCCAGCTGCGCCGCAGGCGGCGCCGAGTCCCGCTGCCGGCGCCAGCAGCAAGGCGGCCGCCGCTCCACGCCGCGCCCCCGATCCGTAGCCTGCAGCGCAGCGCCGCAGCCGCAGCCCAGCGCCTCAAGCCCTCCCAAGCCCTCCCAAGCCAGCGCGGCCGCCTGCCCGCCCCGGCCCCCGCTGTCAGCTGGCCCCCCACCCCCCCCCCCCTGGCAGCTTGGCAGCTGCCCGCGCCCCCCCCCCCCCGGCAGCTGCCCCCCTCACCTCCCCGATGTACTCAATGATGAACTGCCCCGCCTTGAGGGCCTCCTCCGTGAACAGGCCAAAGCCCTTGGGGCCGGCGCGCCGCTGCAAAGGGGCGCGGAAGGGGGGCGGGGAGCGGAGGCGCGGCGGGGTGAGCGGGTGAAGCGCTACGGCAAGGGCCGGCTGCGCTGCCAGCGGCTGGCGCTGCAGTGCCGGGAAGCGGCGGCGCAAGCTAGAGGTGCGCGGCCACCGCAAGGAGCGCCCCCGCGCCAGCAGCGGCGACGCGGCTGCGGCCACGGCAGGCAAAGCGGCGCCCAGGCGGCAGCGGCAGGCAGGGCGGCCGCGCCGCGGGTCCAACAGCGCGCGGCAGAGACCCACCACTGACAGCTTTGCGTACTGCTTGCGCGTGAACGTCTGGTTGGTGCAGTGGCTCTCGCAGGGGCAGAAGTCCTCCGTGCACTCGATGCACAGCATGCGGTTCAGGCAGTTGGGGCCGCAGCCGTCGCCGCCGCGCCAGGGGGGCGGGCACTGGCAGACCATTATGTCGTCCTCGTCCTGCACCTTGCGCTTGCGGTGGCTGAACAGGTTGTCGGATATGAGCTGCCACACAGCAGGCAGCTTGGCGCCCGGCGGCGCCGGCGGCGGCGCGGGCCGCGGCGGGCGGCCGCCGCCGCCGCCGGCGCGGCCGGGCGAGGGCGGCTGGTTGGCGGCGGCGAGCGCGGCGGCCTGCTGCTGCGCTCGGGGGGAGGGCAGGGGCGCGGGGCGGGGCGGGGGAGGGGGCGTCAGCAGGCGCGCCCCGAGCCGCGGTGGCGCGCACAGCCGGGCGGGCGCGGCGGCGCAAGCGGCGGGGGGGGGGGGGGGGGGGGGGGGGGGGGGGGGGGGGGGGGGGGGGGGGGGGGGGGGGGGGGGGGGGAGCGGCAGGCGCGGCTTCGCGCGTGGCGCAGCGCAGCGGCGCGCGCGCGCACCAGGTCGAGGTCAATCTCCTTGTCTGTGAGCTCCTGGGGCTTGTCGCACCCCGCAAACTTCTTGTCCGGGTTGAGCTCGCAGTGCCTGGGGGCGCGGGAGGGCGGGCGGCGCGGGCGTTGGGCGCGCCGTCGCCGCGGGGCGGGGGGCGGCGTGCTGGCGGCGGCGGCGGCGCGGCGCGGCGCGCGGCGGCGCACCACTCGTCGTCGTCGCCGATGGCGTCGACCATGGCCTTGGGCACGCGCCGCCACTTGTTGCAGTGGTCGCATTGGATCCAGTGCTGCGCGTCGGCGTCCCCTCCCGACTCCCCGCTGAGGGAGGACGGCATGGTGTTGTGGCGCGCGGGCCGGGCGCCCCCCGCAGGGGCGGCACGGCCTCACGGAGCCTTTGAGCGCCCTCCGAGCTCAAGGCACGTCGGCACCGAGCGAGGGGCGGGCCCTCCGGGACGGCATCAGGCGGGAAAGACTTTCTCTCAAAGCTTGCCTGCGCGCGTGGGTGCTGCGGTGCTGCGGTGCTCAAAAGGCAATTGAGAGCTGGCACTCCACCTCCCGGCTTGACAGTTTCGACACGCGGCCTGCGACCAGCGGGGGAAGCTGCTGCCGCGGTGATCTGGGTTGGGTTGACGGGGTCGACCGACGCAGAGAGGAAATCGGCTTCACAAGCACTCCAGCAGCGATGGCGCGGACCCACAGGCACACGCCCCTGCTGCTGGGCCTGGGCCTGCTGCTCGCGCTGGCGACAGGGGCCGCGGCAGCGCCCGCGGATGGCGGCCTGCTCCTGGTGACGCCCCTTCTGGGCTGGAGCTCGGCGGGGGCGTGGTTCGCCGGGGACAGGACGCCCGAGGTCAGGGCTGTCGCGCAGGTGCGCTGCCGGGCGGCCCCGGCCGACGCATCGGGCGCGGTTGACGCGGGGACAGCGATCTGGCGGGTTCCCGGGCGCGGGAGGGCCCCACGCCGCGCCGCGCGGGCGGCGGCGGATTCCCTGCGCGCGCGCGCTCGCTCATGGCGCGGCGCCCCAGGCCCCACGCCCGCCCACAACCCTTTTCGCCGCGCCGCGCCCGCGCCCGCCCCGCCCCCCCGCGACAGACGACCACCGACCTCGCCAGCGCGCTGGGCGGCCTGATCGCGGGCGCCCTGCGCCCCGCCGGCGCCGCCGCCGCGGCGTCGCCGCTGCTCGACGCGTCGGCCCTCGCCGACGCGCCCCCAGAGGTGGCGCTCGTCCTGCTGGGCTCGCGGCTGCGCACCAGCGACCTGCGCCGCAAGCACGCCGCGGCGCTGCAGCCGCTGCTCGAGGCGGCGCCCTCGTCGGTCGCGCTGCCCCACGTGGTGCACCCCGTGGAGGGCGCGCCCGCGCGCGAGGCGCTGCTCGACGCGCTGCGCGCGCAGCTGCCGGCCGGCGCCAAGCTGCAGGTGTTTGCCGCCGAGGGCGCTTGCGGCTGCTTATGCCCCTCCTCGCGTGGTGCATGCTTCAGCAGCAGCGCCCTAATGCAAGATACAAACGCTCAGCAGCCCGCAAACCACTGCCGCCCCCCCCCCCAAAAAAACGTCCCCAACCCAGACCGCCGGCTGCGGCGAGGGCCTGGCGCTGGGGGAGATCGCGCAGCTGCTGCTGGACGGCGCCCCCGTGACCGCCGAGGCCCCCCGCCTGCTCGTGGGCTGCACCGACGCGGCGGGCGGGCTCGAGGCGGAGCTGCGGCAGGTGGCGGCCGCGCACGGCTCGGTCGCGGCGCTGGGCAAGCGGCAGGTGACGCTTTACGGCGTGGACCCGCACGCCGGCGAGGGCGGCGGCGGCGGCGGCGGCGCGGCGGCGGCGGAGCAGCGCCGGCGGCTGCTGCAGGCGGGCGGCGTGACGGGCGGGCCCTACTCCGTCTGCGACGAGCGCTGCAGGGTGCGGGCGGCTTTGGCGGTTTGGGGGGCTCGGCGCTCCATGCAACGTGCTTGTTTGGTTCTGCATGCCCCTCGCGCGGCTTTGAACGCCGCCGGGACTGGCCAGCGCACTCCCCGGCCCGGCTGACCCGCGCACTGAGTCGCTCGCTGCCGTGCCCCCGCCGCCGCCCCCCAGACCCAGGTCAAGTGGCTGGAGGGCATGCTGGCGCTGCTGCTGATCATCGTCGCCACGCTGTCAGGTGCGGTCGTGGGGGCATGCGCGATTGTGTATGTTTGTGCGCGTGCGCACTACTGTTCGTGCATGCCCAGCGGAGCTGAGCTTTGGGCTTGTGCCTCGTCGCCGGTGTCGCCGCGCCCTGACCTGGACCCCAAACACACCCCTCCCCAAACAGGCCTGTGCTGCCTCAGCGTGCTGGACACGCCCACGCGCTTCGAGTCGCCCAAAGACGCGTCCCGCGCGGACTGAGCGCCGCCCGCCGCCCGCCGCCCGCCGCCCCGGCCAGGCCTGGCCTGGGCCACGGCCCCTCTTTCTTCCGCCTCTGTTTGCGCCGCCTTTCCATCGTGCGTTTGCATCTCTCCCTCCCTCTTCTTCTGCATCATTCCGCGTCTGGCGCGCCGGCGCCCTCTGTATCCTCGCGACGGGTAACGAACCAAACTCATTTGCGGCAGCGGCAGCGGCAGCGGCAGCGGCAGCGGCAGCGGCAGCGGCAGGCCAACCGGCGACGGGGGGGCCTTGGTGGGGGGGTACCAATACTTCAATACTATGGGTGGTCCTTTCCGTGTCTTGTGTTGCAGCAAAAGGCTGAACAAAGCTAAAAAGGAAAACAATGTTTATTATGATCAGTCAGGATTCGAACCTGAGACCTGTGGGTTATGGGCCCACCACGCTACCGCTGCGCCACTGATCACTCGCCCCAGAGCACCCCCCGGGAGCGATTGATGCGATCGATCGAATTCGAAAGGAATAACTAGTATGACAGGGACCATCAAATCAAAAGCGGAACAGGATCCTGCGATGCCGCAGGCGGAGTAACAAATCATCATCATCATCATCAAAAGCGGATCCTGCGATGCCGCAGGCGGAGTAACAAATCATCATCAAAAGCGGCTCGCACCCCCGCCGGCCACGTCGGCCCGCGGTGGGTTCTATCGCATGTTTTTTCTGGGGTTTTTTCGCGAGCCGCCTACAGCCCCGGCAAGCACATGCCGGCCGGGGGGCGTGGCGCGCGCCCCGCACGGCGCGCGCCCGCTGCCGAGCGGCCAGACTCGGCGCCCGCCGTCCGCACCGGCCCCTTGCAGGGGCCGTGCGACGCGGGGATTAGTGCGCAATCATTGCGCGTGGGTTTTGTTGTGGTTTGCCATCCGCGCCTCGCAGGCGCCGGTGGTGTTGACCGCCTGCCGTGCGGCGGTTGACTGCTCGTTTTCCTTGACCCTGGTTGGAACACGGTGGCTGCAGGATCCTGCGATGCCGCAGGCGGAGTAACAAATCATCATCATGCGGGCCGTTGTGAACGGTGCTCTGTGGCCTGCGTGCGGGCCTTTTTTCGTGCGGCGCCATCGCCCGTGCCCAGCGCCGCGGCTGGCGGGCGTGGGTGGCGGCGGCCGCCGGGCCCCCCAAGAAAGTGCAGGCCACCACCGGCACCTGGCAGGTAGCAAAGGGGCGGCAGCGCGGTAGCGCGTTTGGGCCGGTAGCGCAGGTAGCATCCGTCGTTTTGTGCAGGCTACCAGGTAGCAGCGGGGTAGCGGCGCGGTAGCGCGCTTGGGCTGGTAGCAGCGCGCAAGCTGGCCCCACTGTCTCCACTGCCTGATTGCCTTCACAATGTCCCCACGCCCCTACAAGCCAAAATGTTTCGAAAGGCTTTACACCTGCGCTGCCCGTTCGCGCAAAAAAAAGCGATCCCACAAGCGGCGCCAGCCGGCCGCCGGCTCAGGCGCGCCCGCGCCCGCGGCCCCGCCCCCGGCCCCGCCCCCGGCCGCGGCCCCGGCCGGCCCCCCTGCCGCCGCCGCCGCCGTCGCTGGGCGCGTCGTCGCCGTCGTCACCGGAGGCGTCGTCACCCGATGACTCCGGCCCGCCCCCGCTGCCGCCCTCGTCCCCGCCGCCTGCCACCGCCGCGCCCTTCTTGCGCCCCTTGGCCGCCGCCGGCGCGGCCCCGCCGCGGCCGCCGCCGCCGCCGCCGCCGCCGCGCCGCTTCCCGCTCGCCCGCTTCTTCCCCCCGCCGCCGCCGCCCCCGCCCTCGCCGCCGCTGCCCTCTTCGCCGCCGCCGTCCCCCTCCTCCTCCTCCTCCGCCGCCGCGGCCCCCTCCCCGCGCGCCGCCTTTGCCGCCGCCTTTGCCGCCGCCTTTGCCGCCTTGGCCGCCTCCCTCGCCGCCGCCTCGGCGCGCGCGGCGCGGTCCGAGGCGGCGCGCTCCATCGTCTCCCGGACTATGGGCTCCACGCGCGCGCGCGCCTCGGCGCAGTCCTCGCCGCAGACGATGAAGCACGCGTTGGTGGGGTGGTTCTGGCCCAGCGCCTTTGGTTGGGGGGGGGGGCGTTTTGGGGAGGGTGTTGTTTGGGAGGGAGGGGTTGTGTGTGTGTTGGGGAGGGGGCGTTGGTAGGGTGGTTCTGGCCCAGCGCCTTTGTTTGGGGGGGGGGTGGCTTTGGCTTTGGCTTTGGCTTTTGGCTTTTGGCTTTTGCTTTTGCTTTGGCATTGGCATTGGCATTGGCGTTGGCGTTGGCGTTGGCGTTGGCGTTTAGGTTGGGCCGGGGCTGTTGTTGCTTGCAACCACCCCTCCCCCCACCCCCTCCCCCCTCCTCGCCCCCCCAGGCCCACCTTGAACAGGTCACACTCCCCCCGCATGGTGTGGCCCTCGGGCACGTGGTCCTCGCAGAAAGCCTTCTCACACACCTTGGGTTTTTTTGGGGGGAGGGGGTGACAGGAAGGTTTGGTGTCTTGGTTTGGTTTCAGTTGCGGCTTTGGGCTGCTGCTCGTTTGCGGTCGGCGCGTGGCTTTGACTGGGGGCCCGCAATCCCCCCCCTTTGCTCCCGCAGGCACAGCCCTCCAAGCCATGCCCCCCAACGCCCTCTCTACATCCCCTTTCACACACCCAAGCCCCCCCCGCACTTCAGCGTTTGTGGGCTGTGCGTGTGCGCCTGGAAGAGCCGAGAGCCGCACTTTGCCTTCCATTCCAAAACCCCTCCACCCCCCTAAACCCCCTGCACCCCCCCAACAACCCCCCCCTGCACCCCCCCCCAACGACCCCCCTTCCAACCCCCCCTAACCCCCCCCAAACCTTTGACATTGCCGTGAGGCTGGAGCCGATGCATTCGGGGTGGTAGGCGCAGGGGCAGTTGTCGCAGCACACCAGGTCGCCGCCGTCCCAGCAAACCTTTGGGGGGGGGGGGTGTTTGAGGGGGGGAAGGGGGTGTTGAGGGGGCTGGGGGGGCAGGTGTTCAGGGGGGAAGGTGTGGGCTGCGTCGCCCAAATCCCAAAAAGAAACCGCCAAAAACCGCCCCAAACCCCACCTGGCAGTAGTCGCAGTGGTCGTAGTCGCGCCCCGCCCGCTGGCAAACACCAAAACTGCCCAAATCCGCCCAAACCGCCCAAAACCGCCCAAACCGCCCCAACCCCCACCTGGCAGTAGTCGCAGTGGTCGTAGTCCCGCCCCGCCCGCTGGCAAACACCAAAACCGCCTAAAACCGCCCAAAACTGCCAAAAACCGCCAAAAACCGCCCCAAACCCCACCTGGCAGTAATCGCAGTGGTCGTAGTCCCGCCCCGCCCGCTGGCGGCGCGTTTTGGTGCCCATGGGGCGCTCCACCGCCGCCTCGCGCCCGCTGGTGCCCTCCCAAGCGCTGATGCCGCCCTGGGGGGGTGGGGGTCGGCGGTTTCGGGCTGTTTCAGGCGGTTTCTTTGGCGGTTTTGGGCGGTTTTGGGCGGTTTTGGGCGGTTTCAACGGCCCACCTGGGTGGGTTTGGGGTCCGTTCCAGAGCAAAGCAACAAAAAGCCACCCCCCCAAAAAAGTGATTCCTAGTAACCCGCGCCTGCGCCATCGAGTAGTTGTTCTCCTTGAGCACGGGGTGCCCCCCGACGCTCATCAGCCGCTGCCCCCCAAAAGCCACCCCCCCCAAAAGTGTTTTCAACAATCCGCGCCTGCGCCATCGAGTAGTTGTTCTCCTTGAGCACGGGGTGCCCCCCGACGCTCGTCAGCCGCTGGCTGCGCGCGCGGCGGCCCTCCCAATAGGACCTCCCGATGTCCTTGAGGCTCTGCGCGCGCAGCGCGCTGAAGTCGGATCCCTGGGTTTTTGTGGGAGGGGGTGTTATTTGGGAGGGGTATTGGGGGGGTATTGGGGTGGGGGTGCTTTGAGGCTCTGCGCCGAAGCACGGCCGCGGGCAAAGCGGGTGTTTGGGGGGGGGGGGGTGCACCATTCAAGGGGGGCCGTTTTGTGGGCGCCGGCGGTGAGCCGCCATCAAACCCCTCCAACCCCAAACCCCAAAGCCCCGGACCCTCAAACATATCAAAATTCAAACCCCCGAACCCCCACCCCCCAACCCCAAACCCCAGACCCCCAGCCCCCACCTTGAGCACGTATGTGCTGAGGGGGGGCTGCTCCGGCCTAAACTCCGCAGCCGTCTGCTTCAGGCTCCTGGGGGGTTTATTTGAAGGGGGGGTGATGGGTCTTGGTTTTGGTTGTAGGGGAGGCGGGGGGATTGGTTGTTTCGTCTGTTTGCCAATGCATGTTGACCAAATGCAACTCTGATTTCAGCGCGCGAGCTCGATGGCGCCCCCCCAGTCAAAGCACCCATCGCGGGCAGCCGCACTTGAGCACGCCGCCGCCGCCGCCGCCGCCGCCGCCGCCGCCGCTGGGACCCGCCTCGCCGCCGCCGTCCTCCTTCTTCACGCCGCCGCCGCCGGCCTTGCCCCCGCCGCCCTTGCCGCGCTTGCCGCCGCCGCCGCCGCTGCCGCTAGCTCCCGCGCCGCCGCTGCCGCTGGGGCCCGCCTCGCCGCCGCCGCCGTCCTCCTTCTTCACGCCGCCGCCGCCGCCGTCGCCGCCGGCCGCGCCGCTGCGCCCCCGCGCGCGCCCGCCGCTGCCGCCGCCGCTGCCGCTGGCCGCGCCCGCCTCTGCCGCCGCCGCCGCCGCCGCCGCCGCCGTGGGCGCGGCGTTTGGGGTGCGGTTGATGATGGTGTCCAGCTCGGCGTCGGTGGGGCCTTTGGGGGGGGTTGAGGCGGTTTTGCGGCGGGTTTGAAAAACGGTTTTGCTGCAGTTTCATCGCGGCGCTTTCAATGGGATGCGCTGCGTTCAAACCAGGCGGGCCGCGCTCAACCCCCCATGTCGTTTCCGAACGAACCTGTCAGCCCCAAGCTAACAACCAAGAACCCCAAACCCCACCTCCCCCGCTGTCGTTTGCGAATACGGTATCCCCCCACTCCCCAAACGAAGCAGTAACAACAAACCCACCTCCCCCGCTGTCGTTTGCGAAGATCCTGTCGGCCCCGAAGGACAGCATCCCCAGCAGCTCCCCCTTGGTGAGGCCCTCCAGCTCCTGGGCGGTGGCGGTGGAGCCGCGGTTGACCATCTGCAGCGGTTTTTGGGGGGTTGGGGGGTTTTGTTTTGGGGGGTGGTTTGGGGGAGGGGTGTTTTGATGGCGAGGCCCTCCGGCTCCTGCGACACGACAAGAAAACAGAAGCATTCTAAAACAAGGGACGGGGTGGAAAGCAAAAAGCACCCCTCCCAAAGGGACCAAGTCAAGAACCAAAGCAAAAAGCCCCCCCCCCCCAAAAAAGGGCGCGCGCGCCTGGTCGAGGTACAGCTTGCTGGTGGCGCGCTGCTGGATGCGCTCCTCGACGGTGCCCTGCGCGGGGGAGGGGTTCAAGGGGGTGGCGTTGATGCTTTTCGGGGGTTTGGGGGTGTTTGGGGGTGTTTTTTGGGGG